CATTGAGTTCTTTGTAACCAAATCTCTCTCAGAGGGGCGTGGGGAGGGGCTCCTTCATTTCATCTAAAGCAGCGATACTCGAGCCGCATGCGGCTCCTTTAAGACTAGTTGCGGCTCTTTTAAGTCCCACTTTAAAAAAAAAAAAATCAAAAAAAAACGAAAAATATTGTCAGCAGAATTAATCAACATTTCATTATCACTCACAAGTCACACATCAGTCATCACACACATCAGTCTATTAAGCCGCCCCCCCCCCATCCCTCTGAACAACCAATCACAAATTATTTCAGGTTTCGCGCTCTGATTGCAGGTGCGCGAGATAATTGCTGGGACACTGGGGAAACTAGCTTACAGCACTATGCAAAAATGGCAAAGGAATATAGGAAACGAAAATATGAAGAGGAATATCGAACATTTAAAGAGGACTGGGAACTCGAGTTTTTCTTCGTCTCCACCGGTTCGGGAAAATGCATCTGCCTGCTTTGTGACAACGTCATTTCACAATTTAAAAGGTCCAATTTGCAGCGCCATCACGTCACAAAACACCCGAAGTTCAGTACCGACTTTCCGAAAGGTGGAGAGCTGAGGGCGGAAAAGCTGGCGAGATTCAAACAGAACCAAACTGCTCAAAAAAACGTATTCCACACTAATACGAGTGAAAGAGCGACAGAGCATCCTACAAAATCACACATGAACTGATGAAAAAGATGAAGCCATATACTGATGAAATGGTGAAGGATTGCATACTCTTAAGGACAAACTGTCATCCGCTGAGTTTGTCAGCCTTGCAATGGACGAAAGCTTGGATATCAATGACACGCCACAATTACTCATCTTTATCCGAGCGATCAACAGTAAGTTTGACATTACAGAAGAACTGCTTGACATGGTTTCACTGAAAAATGGAACAACAGGCATTGAAATAAAAAACGCTGTGCTGGAAACATTAGAAAAGTTTAACATTGGACCAGAAAAAATCACAGCATTCACAACAGATGGCGCACCGGCGATGCTTGGTAAGAGGAACGGAGCCGTGGCTTTGCTGAAAGAAACGCTGAAAAACGGCGGGGTTGCTGCTGAGGGTATTTTCTCATACCATTGTATTGTGCATCAACAAGCCTTGTTTGCGAAGTTCAAATGTCTGAATGAAGTGATGGCAAATGTAATCGAAGTGGTTAATTATATCAGGGCCCGTGCAAGAAACCACTTAAATTTTAAACTGCTGTGTGAGGAGTTTGACACTAACTATGGAGATTTGGTGTTACACACCGAGATCAGATGGCTGTCTAAAGGACGTATGCTTGCACATTTCATGGACCTGCTTGAACCCCTGAAATCCTTCATTGTCGGTAAAGGGGAGACTTCCCGATTTTCCTTTTTGGATGATAAAGAGTGGGTGCTGTCTGTTGCGTTCCTGTATGACATTACGCAGCACTTGAACGAACTTAATCTCAAGATGCAGGGAAGAAACAAGACCGTGTATGACAAACTGGATGTACTCGAACAAAGTGTCCGTGGTTCTGATTACCGTTTCTTCCCCACCGTGCAGAAAGTGATGGCGATGCATGCAGACGCTCTCCTGCCCTGTCAATCACAATTCTGTGACGTGCTAACTGAGCTCAAGCAAAACTACACATCAAGATTCCACGACTTCAAGGACCATAGCAATATTTTTCTACTTGTGAAAAACCCATTCCTGATTGAGGTCAATGAAATGAAGCAAATAAGCGACCAGCTCGGACTTGTGCAGCTTCAAATGGAGTTCGTGGAGTTAAAGAGCTCAGATGAACTTCAGCGTCAGTTTCGGATTACAGATGTCGTGGACTTTTGGAAACTGGTGGGGCATCTACCAAATATCTCCAGACTGGCAAGACGCATCATCTCAATGTTTCCGTCCACATACCGGTGTGAAGCAGCATTCTCTGCGCTCTCATAAATAAAATGTCGCAACCGAAACAGATTGAGTCTGCAGCACACAACAGAGGCCCTTCGGATCGCCGTTCAAATCACTTGTGCGGCAGAAGGAGTGTCAGAAATCACATTGAGTGTGAAGTAAGTACAACATTACTCTTCTGACAGCCCCTGCTGTCTATAATCTGCTGTTATATGGACTGTGATCATCGGTAAACATGCTGTCTGTTATCTGTTGTTATGGGCAGTGATGATCAGCAATGTGTGGTTGCAGTGAAAATAATAAATCACAGTTATTGCACTGTACATTATGCTTTTCATTCCTTAGTAACATATTACTATTATCCATATTCTCAAATGCACAATGGTTTCAGGGAGGAAAGGAGCGTTTTTGGATTGTGGCTCTTGCAAAAATATTTTTTCGTCAATGTGGCTCCTGATTAGGACAAGGTTGAGTACCACTGATCTAAAGTAACAGACAGAGAATCAGCACTTTGGAAACAGGCCTGAAACAGAGGGGATTATGGGATGCAGCAATGATCTGTTTGGTGTTTCAGCCAATCAGAGACAGGCTCTGTATATATCTGAGACCTGTGACATATTGATGAGAAACAGTATAATAGGGGACCTTTAAGGCCTCGATTAGGGTTGGACTCCCAAAATACTTCCCTTCATTCTTTCAGTTGTTGAGTGTTTCAACTGTGCCTTTCAGTATTTGCTAACCATCTGATTTACTGTCGATGTTAATTATGTAACCTGCCATTCATACATTCATCATCACATTATTGATATAAGACTTATGTTATTCTGTAGTTTATATATTCTTAGCAGTTCATGATTATTTCATTTATAAAGAACCATCCTATTTTGTGTGTGAAGTAAATCAGCCTATGTTCACAGAGTAAACTCAGATTCTCAGATGATGAGACTAATCGTGTTATCATCTCATCTCTCTCAATATGGAGCTTGGGGCCACAACTTCTTAACGTTTATTTTACGTATTTTAAAGTATTAAGGTAAACTTCGAGTTTGATAACCAGTAGAGTGTGGTACTCCACGTAAATAATTAAGAATTCATTATGAAATCTGTCACGATTCTTGTGTTGTGTCACGTTTTTAGTTTTGTGTGTCTGGTAGTGGGTGTTTTGCTTTTCTCCTTGTCATGTTTTCCTCCCTGTGTATTGTCTGGTCTTTTCCCCTGTGTTTTCCCGGCTGTCGTTAGTTTCCCTGGTGTGTCTAATTTCCTGATTGTTTTCACCTGTCACCCCTTCTGTGTCTCCTTTGCTCATCAGTGTCAGCCCCGCCCCTGATTGTTCCTACCTGTGTCTTGTTACCCTGTGTTTAAATTCCCCTGTCTCCCAGTGTTCAGTGTCAGTTCGTTTTTGTCTCTTGTCATGTTCAGGTCTATGCGTGTGGTCTATTGCCATGGTAAGGTCTTGTCTCTTCCCACAGTCAGGTCTATGCTCTTTTTGTGCTATTGAAAAGTTGTTCCTCACCATATGAGCGATTTTCATTTTGTTCTTATTTTTTTTGTCATCTCAACCTGAGATTCAATAGTGACTTTTTTGTTCATCTTGCCTGCTTTTGGACAAATAAAAGTATCGTTCCAATACTTTACCTCTGTCTCCCGGGTCGTGCAATTGGGTCCTACCTCCTAAGTGTCTGAGTTCTAAACAAAATCTGCACAAGAAATATACGCTGATTCAGCCATATATTGTTGTTCCCATTTTTATGACCGGGCAACTCTAGGTCACAGATGGTTTATTGTTGTGGGTACACTGGAACACTTCCTTCTCGGTGTTTGTGGACTCCAAGGTGTGAACTCTTCGAGGCCATAAGTGTCAGACGCAAGTAACTCAGTGTTCCCAACTGTTTACAACATCAGGAGATGCGTCCCCAGCTGTCCCAGAAAGCAACACAGGTTCTGGTCCAGGCTCTCGTCATCTCACGCCTAGACTACTGCAACTCCCTCCTGGCTGGTCTACCTGCATGTGCCATCCGACCTCTGCAGCTCATCCAGAATGCAGCGGCTCGTCTGGTCTTCAACCTTCCTACATTCTCCCACACCACGCCGCTCCTCCGCTCCCTTCACTGGCTTCCGATAACTGCTAGAATCCACTTCAAGACAATGGTACTTGCGTACCATGCTGCGAATGGATCTGGCCCTTCCTACATCCAGGACATGGTTAAACCGTACACCCCAGCACGTGCACTCCGCTCTGCATCAGCCAAACGACTCGCTGCACCCGCACTGCGAGGGGGACCCAAGTTCCCATCAGCAAAAACACGTGGGTTTGCTATCCTGGCTCCAAAATGGTGGAATGAGCTCCCCATTGAAATCAGGACAGCAGATAGCTTGCACATCTTCCGACGCAGACTAAAAACTCATCTCTTTCGACTCCACTTCGAGCGATAGAATTACTAACAAAGAACTGCTAACAGAGCACTTATATACTAATACAGGACTGGCTTATCTAAAGCCAGTTGAGTAGCACTTGAAATGTTTGGCTCTATGAAACCTGATGTACTTATATGATTCTGTTTTCTTCAAGTTTGTATCTTCCTGGTCGAATGTATGTATTGTAAGTCGCTTTGGATAAAAGCGTCAGCTAAATGCAATGTAATGTTTAGGCTATCTTCTCAAATATGTTGATTACTCTCTGTGAAACCAGTTAAAAGGTCTAGCAAGAGAGAGGCGCTGCAGAATTGACGTGGCAACTCTACCGTGAAGTCAGAACCTCTGGCTCTTGGACTTGTGATGTGAATTCTCCGGCCGAAGCTCCTAATAAACCATCAGTGTTTGACATCAGAGCTCCAGCTCGCCCTGTGTCTCCTTCCTGAGTCGGTGACTCCCACTGCATTGCTACACAGAAGTTTCCCCCACACCTAGTACTAGACTCCTGGTACTAGGATGGGTAAAAAGCAGAGAACACATTTCACTGTCTGTGCATTTATGTGTGACCATTAAACAGGGTTTCATCCCTCCAATTATATTATATTCTATTCAGTAGGGAGCTTGGGGCCAAAACTTCTCTGTGGAAACAGCTGTGGTTTAAAACAAGCGTTTAGGCTGATGGTGAACACATTACCTCCTCCTCAAGGACGTTGTTCTGCAGCAGAAATACATCCAGTATTTGTTCCTCTCGGCCCGGGGGTCGTAGGAACAGCAGAATTTTGCCCTTTATTCGCCACTTTAGAAGCCTTCTCAATGGATCGATGATAAGGCCAAAGAGAGAGAGGTGAAGCACCTTCACCACCACGTGAGTGTGTGTGACCTCCAGCGGCTTCAAGATGCTCAGGCCTTCATCAGTGATGTGGACGACAGACAACAGGCCGTCCAGGAACAGCGCTGTGGAGCAAAGAGCTGGTCATCTGTTGCATTGCTGCTAAAACAGCTTCATCATCTTCAATGTCACACCACTTTAGCTCAGAGCTAATGTTCATCTAATGTCATTCACTTCGGAGCCTCACTGGGATGTACCAGTTTATATCCTTCACCTTTTATTTGTAATGTTTAATTATTGTTCCGTCCCCCTGTGAACTTTCTGGATGTGAGCATGCGTAATTATTGTCTAATTTACAAGACTGCTGAAATGTTTGTAATCTGCAGCCAGAACAGCTTGACTGTGTCCGGTCTCATGTCTGAGTGGTTCTCTAGATGTGTGAAGAGTTTTCTAAAGCTTTTAGGGCATAGAAAGTCTAACTTATAAATGTTGTTGTCTGTTGTTTTGTTTTGTACATGCTTCAGCCAGACTGACAATGTAAAGAGCAGAAAGAGCAAGAGATGAATAACAAAGTAATAATTACAAGTCACAGGCTTCTCCAACAGAGCAACACAAAACACAGATACACAGAAAAATATAGTGCAAGTAAAGAGTAATACAAAAAGAAAAATAGTTTTAAAAAAGTGGAATAGTGAAATAGTGCAATAAGAGTCTATATGCAAGTTATTGAAATAGGATGTATAGGTAAATAGATACATAATTTCAAAATGTTTTTTTAAGTAGCAGCGAGAGGAATATTAGGGATGTTGTTTCAACTGTTCAGGTGTTTAACAGATTTTGCTTCAACAGTTCTGGTGGTTAACAGTCTTATTGTCTTTGTTAAACTAGTTCGCTTTTGAACAGTAGTGGATGGTATAAGGTGCTAAGCATTATATAAGTGTATTTGTTAACACTGCAGATGTCTTTACCATCCTCTGTCTCGCTGTGTGGCAGGTGGAGCTGGCAGACGGCAGCTTCATCAGAACTCTTCACGTCGAACAGCGGCCCTGCTGCCTGCTTGCCAGCTGATTGGAGGAGGCTCTCATCCCAAGTGGCCACCCTGTAGAGAAGCTCCGCCTCCTGAGCCATGACAAACACCAGGCCAGTCGAAGCACACTGGAACTCACCTGGACCAGGACACCTGAACCTGTAGACACACAAGAGACAAGTTACTACAACAAGCCTTCACTGGCCTGTGTTCTGACTGACAGGTGTTCATCCAGCTGGAGTCTGACCTGGAGGAGGGTTTGTTGAAAGATCTGAAACACCTGGGGCCTCATTTATAAAGGGATATACGCTCAAAAAATGGCGTACGCCAGTTACTACGCAATGTTTGCGATTTATAAAATACTAACTTGATGGGAAAACGTGCGGTCCTCCACGCAAACTCTAACCCATGCGCACGCACTAAGCACAAAAACGGGAGAGACGAGAAACTGCGACATCGTTGGCAGAAGGAAGAATGGAGAGAAATATGTGGAAATAATACCATAAACAAAATGTTACTGTTACGATTATTGTGTTATGTCACGTTTTCTATGTCTTGGTTTGGGTGTTTTGCTGTTCTCCCTGTCATTTTTTCCTCTGGGTTATTGTCTGGTCCTTCTTCCTGTGTTTTTCCTCCCGTCGTTAGTTTCCCTGGTGTGTCTAGTTGTCTGATTGTGTTCACCTGTGGCCCTTGTGTTTCTCCTCCCCTGCCCGGCTGTGTCTCGTCTTGTGATTACCCCTCCCTGTATTTAGTCTTGTCTCTTCCTGTGTTCAGTGTTGGTTCGTCTTGTGTGTTGACGTGGTCTTCGTGAGTGTCCTGTTCTGTCATTGTGTATAGCCTTGAAATAAAGGAATTATTCTTACTCTAATCTGCATTTGGGTCCTGCTTCCTGCACACCGTAACAGTTACCTCTCATTTATCATATGAAGAATTCATTTTCAAACATTGATTGAAGCCAATCTTAAAATGATTAAACAAACGCCTGTTCGAGACTCCTCAGTGCACACAAAAACATAACTTGGAGAAATAAATAAATGATATATAGATATGTTATTTAAAACCACCTCGAATATGTGGTGTTAATGTTATGAAATGTTTTCTCAAATGATGCGGTTTTGCATTTCTATAGGTTGTACGAGCATGGTTTTATATACTACCATGTTTAATCATGTTTTATGCCGTTTGCTAAGACTTGATAAGTCGCTCATAAAACACAGGAGGTATGGAAACTAAGAACACCATGTGGTAAATTGTACAGGTGATATAACACAACACATTAGTTGTATTTCCTTTAACTGGTGGATATAGAGTTGCTGCGGGGGGTGGGGGGGGGGGGGGGGTTGAGGTGCACAGGCTGCAGTGGAGACACTGCACACAGCTGATCGACAGCTAGGACACAAACCACCAAATACGAAAACATAATTCAGATTCAGTCGTCATGACTCCACTCCGGAGGGATTCCCCGATCACTTCTTACAGTCTCTCATCAAGGGGGGGTCTCCTGTCCCCGGCACAAACACACTGCCTGAGGAAGGCTATGTGTATTTTTTTTGTCATGAACCTTTTTCGGACCACTTATTTATTTATTTTGGTGACGATCCGACCTCCATGCTGCTACTCTGGTTCAAACTGCATCCACCAAACAATATGATTTATCTCCACCTCCCCAAAATAACCAAAATCTGACACGGTGTGAGATGTCTTTTTTAGCTGTTCTGTCGTCATTTCCTGCGATCTTCTTCATAAAGTCAGTCAGAATGAATGAATGGGCGTTTCTTTAACTATTTATAGGCAAATATGGGCGTTACGTGAAGCCCGCAAAAGCTGCACCGCATTTCGAGTCGATTGTGATTTATAAAGGGAAACCGGCGTAGGAAGTGCTGTACGCACTTTCCTCGCCGGTGCGCAATGTTTGGTGAATCGGAAAATGTCGGAGCATTTCTGTACCTATTTTTTGGATTTCTACTACGTAAGCAACCTTCCCACGTGAATCCTACGCACGGCGTTAGAAATGAGGCCCCTGATGATTACAGGAACATCACTGAAGATGTGTCCACATGCATCAGAATGTGTGTTAACACATTTTCATTAAATTAACAACATTTCTAGTCCAGTGAGGATCTAGACGGTAGGCCTACAAGAAAACAATCCCACGGAGGCATTATTTTATTCATGTCTGTTGGAAAGAGATTGGATGCAATACCTCAAGGTGAAAGACTTGAAATGAAACCAAATTAAATGAATATATATTTTTAATGTGTTTAAAATTACCTGTATGAAGACTCAGTTGTGTGTTCAGGTGAGAAGGATTCAGGAGCCTGGGACAAACAAAGTTATTTATTTTACTAGAAATAAAGTTAAGTTCTAGCTTCAACTCTCAACTGCTCCTCTCTCACCTTTCTGTCTGTCTTCACTTCCTGTTCCACATCGGAGTCACCTGATGGAGAGAAGAGGTGACAGAGAAAACAATAAATAAAACAATAATAATTATTGTACTATAAATACCTTTTAAGATCAGATTTATTGTACAATATCTGGATGAATGGAGGGTATGGGTTCAGTACTCACAGTTCTTCTGTATCTTGGCTTTGATTGTCTCTCCATTGATCCTGCAGGGATGAACACAATCCAACAGTTTTAGATCAAGTTAAAATAATAGTTAGTTCTTTGAGTTAGTCAGCTTCAGAGTCCTGACTGATCCAATGCTTTACATCACATCATATCTTCTCTGCAAACACTACGACTGACTGCCCACAGCTCTCAGCTGCATTAGAGAATTCACTAGGCATTAGTCCAGGAACTTAGAAAAACAAACAGACTACCTTTTTAACTGTAACATCCCATTCGTCTGTTAATGAGTTGCTCTGACTGAGATGTGGCGTTGCATTGTCAGCTTGCATTATATCGCTAGATAAGAATGAAAGAAAATAAACATAAGATGAACAAAAGGAGAAACTGCAGACACATGGGCTGCGTTTCACTTCTCTTATTTTTCATTTCCTCGCTCCTCGGTCTCGGTCTCACCGGAAGTTGATTTGTCTGCGCCATCTTGAGTAGCGTCCCAATGGCCTTATTTTTGCCGGAGGAGCGAGGAGCGATAATGGAGGAGCTATAACCGAGGAACCACCAGACAATCCTCCGATGAAATCCTCAGACACTCGCCCCGCCCCCTTACTGTGTATCGCTCACTGATTGGACGATGCAGTGCATGCACTGATCTGATGCTTCTTGACATGAGAGCAGTTTCCCAGCGGAGTGAAGAAAACACATGAACCTCACGGGAGTCACTCCTCAGTGTATACCATGTTTTGTTTCAATTCATGTTTCATTTAGTTACAAATATGTGACCTGCTCTATTAAAATCAGTCGCATTGACCCGAAGACACATTTTGAGTTGTATACACTGCTGGAAAGAGGAGATTCCTAGCTTTCTAATGATATCAGGATTGTTGCTCTACTCCAAATATTAAGCAAAATATGTCACATTATATAATGACTGTCACCGAGTCATCATTTTGAGAAAAAGGCCTTCAAAGTTTTCTCTTCTCTGGAATCCATCGATCTGATTGGTTATTAGCAAATGATCAAAATAATACGGAGGGAAGATATTTTCGTTTGGAGGGGAAGCTCGCGTGTGTGTGTGTGTGTGTGTGTGTGTGTGTGTGTGTGTGTGTGTGTGTGTGTGTGTGTGTGTGTGTGTGTGTGTATACATGTGTGTGTTTGTGTAATTTTGCGTTTGTGTGTATTGTGTTTGTTTCCCGGGGAAAACCCTCACGAGAAACACCGGCTGTTGTTATGCCTGCTGTGACGTTAAATTACTCCGTTCTCCGCTTGTAATTATGCCGAGGCTTCAAAGTTGTATTTATCACCTGAATTTGCTGAAACAAGTTTAATATTCTGAAAGCCAAGACTTTGTTTAATTGAAATCAGATGAAAACCAACTGTAACGGACCCTGCCGTGTTATCTACGATTACATTCATAATGTCAGCCGGAGGGAGGGGGGGCGGCGCTGCGGAAGAGCAGATTGCGAGTGAGAGGTGCCATCTTCCCTTTACAAGCTTCAAAAATGTATTTATCGTGTGATTTTGGAAATAAAAGTTTCATATTCTGAAAGCCAAGACTTTGTTGATTTAAAATCAAACAAAACACCCGAACCCCGGAAACAATTTTTTTTACGCAAATCCATGTTTATTTTGAAATGAGCCGTTGCGACTTCCGACTGATTTCGATAGAGCGGGTCACATATGTGATATATCTGAACAACAAAGTGGTCAAAAATCATTTTATTCATTTTTTGGAAACATTTTCATGATCGCTTTTTTCGTTCCATTCAGTCAGTCATTAAGTGCTATTTAAAATGTTAATTTACTACATATCCAAACAAACATAGGTAACATATCTCTTTTTCTTCTCTCAATTATTTTATTTCTATTGTGGACTCTAATCAATATTAATCAAACTATTGTTCGTTTATACATTTTAAGAATGGCGTTTATCTTTTTTGAGAATGAGTTCTTATTTTATTTTATTTATTTGAGTCTACAACAGATGATACACATGTTTGTGTCAGTAAATGTGTACTAACAGAGGCGGGGTGTGTGTGGAAATAACGGGGACAGAGCTGCTGTCAGACGATCAGCTGTGCAGCGTCATCACAAACGGACGTCGCTTCACGTGACGCTCCGGAGGAAAGGACGTCCCATTGCTCTTAAAACTCATTTCCCTGCTTCTCGTGGTTTCCTTGCGTCTCTCCGTGCTTCCCTGGTGGGAGGGACTAGTCACAGGGAAACGACGCAAGTGAGGGAAGCAAGGATTCCATTTAACCGAAGTGAGAAGGGCCCATGGTAACATCCATGATTTGTTGTACTAAGCTAGGCTACGCCTGGAAGGTGGATCTGGAGAGATTCCCCAGTGAGAGGAACACCTCCACCTCCCTGTGTTTAATACAATACTGCTGAACCAGCAGAGAGTCGACCCCTTACTGACCCGAGAGTCTCCAGTCTGCAGTCTGGACTCTCCAGAAGATCTCTCAGCAGCTCCACTCCTGAATCCTGCAGATCGTTGTCACTCAGGTCCAGCTCTCTCAGATGGGAGGGGTTGGACTTCAGAGCTGAGGCCAGAGCAGAACAGCTGATCTCTGACAACCTGCAGCTCATCAGTCTGAATAAAGAACACATGATGCAACTTTAGAAAAACTAAATTTCAGCTTAAAATATTCAAGGTTCAATAATCTGATTATAGCTGGAGAGGTAGAGAATGTAGGAGTTTATAAAGTGGACACCCTGACAGGTTAAAAACTGTAAGATACAGAAAGAGAAAAGAGCTCTCATTAATATGAAAGACAACGTGCTTCACCTTCAATAAAAAGTGGAGACTTCACATCTGAACCTCTGCTCCATCTACACTAACTCATGATGTGCAGCCAGACTAATAACAACCCACTGAAACTGATTCAACTCAAGATCACACAGTTTACAAATATGACAAATATGTCATATTTTCAATTTAGAAGAAATGTGAAAAAAATTAAATTAATAGAAAGTATTTATTTCAGAAATAGTGGAGCCATACATCCAAAGCATCTTCAGTTTGAACTATTCAGTCAGTATGAGCATCATGTAGCTTCATACACATGTGAGAAACAGCTCAAACTGAACATATTTGTTAGTGTTTGATAGTTTTAATATAAATGTTTATTTATTGTATTCATGTGTTTATAATGTCATTTATTTAAAAAAACCTGATGGAGAATATAAGATGAATTTGAGGTTTTTAGGAGGTTCAGAGTGAATTATGCAGAGTTTGATTATTTCTTAACATTGCTCTGCCACTGTCAGGGAAAGAAACCACAGAAGAAGAAAACAGACTTTAGCATCAAGATACTCAGAGAGGATCAGGATGATATCAGCCTGATGTCTGCAGCTCAGAGTCAACACAACTCTCACATATTAATCTCAGCACAGAAGTAAAAGATGGAGAACTGACCTGAGAACCACCAGTCTGCAGTCTGGACTCTCCAGAAGATCTCTCAGCAGCTCCACTCCTGAATCCTGCAGATCGTTGTCACTCAGGTCCAGAAGTCTCAGAAGGGAGGGGTTGGACTTCAGAGCTGAGATCAGAGCAGAACAGCTGATCTCTGACAAACTGCAGCCCATCAGTCTGAATAAAGAACACATGATCACATGGTCAGTTCAAACTATTCAGTCAGTATAAGCATCTTTTAGCTTCATACAAATGTTGGAAGAAGCAAATACTGAATATATTTTTTGTGTCTGATTGGAAATACTTATTAATTGTAATCATGTGTCTTTTATATAATGTAGTAAAATAAAACTATACGGAAGTTCAGAGTGAATTATGCAGAGTTTGATTTTTCCTTAACATTGCTCTGCCACTGTCAGGGAAATAAACCACAGAAGAAGAAAACATACTTTAGCATTAAGATACTCAGAGAGGATCAGGATAATATCAGCCTGATGTCTGCAGCTCAGAGTCAACACAACTCTCACATATTAATCTCAGCACAGAAGTTAAAGATGGAGAACTGACGTGAGATCCTCCAGTCTGCAGTCTGGACTCTCCAGAAGATCTCTCAGCAGCTCCACTCCTGAATCCTGCAGAGTGTTGCTACTCAGGTCCAGAAGTCTCAGAAGGGAGGGGTTGGACTTCAGAGCTGAGATCAGAGCAGAACAGCTGATCTCTGACAACCTGCAGCCCATCAGTCTGAATAAAGAAAACATGATGTAACTTTAGAAAAACAAAGTTTCAGCTTAAAATATTCAAGGTTCAATAATCTGTGTATAGCTGGAGAAGTAGAGAATGTAGGAGTTTATAAAGTGGACATCCTGACAGGTTAAAAACTGTAAGATACAGAAAGAGAAAAGAGCTCTCATTAATATGAAAGACAACGTGTTTCACCTTCAACAAAAAGTGGAGACTTCACATCTGAACCTCTGCTCCATCGACACTAACTCATGATGTGCAGCCAGACTAATAACAACCCAATGAAACTGATTCAACTCAAGATCACACAGTTTACAAATATGACAAATATGACAGGATGAATTCAGAAGAAATGTGATAAAAAATTAATAGAAAGTATTTATTTCAGAAATAGTGGAGCCATACATCCAAAGCATCTTCAGTTTAAACTGCTCAGTCAGTATGAGCATCATGTAGCTTCATACACATGTGAGAAACAGCTGAAACTGAACATATTTGTTAGTGTTTGATAGTTTTAATATAAATATTTATTTATTGTATTCATGTGTTTATAATGTCATTTATTTAAAATAAACATGATGGAGAATATAAGATGAATTTGAGGTTTTTAGGAGGTTCAGAGTGAATTATGCAGAGTGTGATTTTTCCTTAACATTGCTCTGCCAGGGAAAGAAACCACAGAAGAAGAAAACAGACTTCAGCATCAAGATACTCAGAGAGGATCAGGATGATATCAGCCTGATGTCTGCAGCTCAGAGTCAACACAACTTTCACATATTAATCTCAGCACAGAAGTTAAAGATGGAGAACTGACTTGAGAACCACCAGTCTGCAGTCTGGACTCTCCAGAAGATCTCTCAGCAGCTCCACTCCTGAATCCTGCAGATCGTTGCTACTCAGGTCCAGATGTCTCAGAAGGGAGGGGTTGGACTTCAGAGCTGAGATCAGAGCAGAACAGCTGATCTCTGACAAACTGCAGCCCATCAGTCTGAATAAAGAACACATGATCACATGGTCAGTTCAAACTATTCAGTCAGTATAAGCATCTTTTAGCTTCATACAAATGTTGGAAGAAGCAAATACTGAATATATTTGTTGTGTTTGATTGGATATACTTATTAATTGTAATCATGTGTCTTTTATATAATGTAGTAAAATAAAACTATACGGAAGTTCAGAGTGAATTATGCAGAGTTTGATTTTTCCTTAACATTGCTCTGCCACTGTCAGGGAAATAAACCACAGAAGAAGAAACAGACTTTAGCATCAAGATACTCAGAGAGGATCAGGATAATATCAGCCTGATGTCTGCAGCTCAGAGTCAACACAACTCTCACATATTAATCTCAGCACAGAAGTCAAAGATGGAGAACTGACGTGAGAGTCTCCAGTCTGCAGTCTGGACTCTCCAGAAGATCTCTCAGCAGCTCCACTCCTGAATCCTGCAGAGCGTTGTCACTCAGGTCCAGATCTCTCAGATGGGAGGGGTTGGACTTCAGAGCTGAGATCAGAGCAGAACAGCTGATCTCTGACAACCTGCAGCTCATCAGTCTGAATAAAGAAAACATGATGTAACTTTAGAAAAACAAAGTTTCAGCTTAAAATATTCAAGGTTCAATAATCTGTGTATAGCTGGAGAAGTAGAGAATGTAGGAGTTTATCAAGTGGACATCCTGACAGGTTAAAAACTGTAAGATACAGAAAGAGAAAAGAGCTCTCATTAATATGAAAGACAACGTGTTTCTCCTTCAATAAAAAGTGGAGACTTCACATCTGAACCTCTGCTCCATCTACACTAACTCATGATGTGCAGCCAGACTAATAACAACCCACTGAAACTGATTCAACTCAAGATCACACAGTTTACAAATATGACAAATATGACAGGATGAATTTAGAAGAAATGTGATAAAAAATAAATAGAAAGTATTTATTTCAGAAATAGTGGAGCCATACATCCAAAGCATCTTCAGTTTAAACTGCTCAGTCAGTATGAGCATCATGTAGCTTCATACACATGTGAGAAACAGCTGAAACTGAACATATTTGTTAGTGTTTGATAGTTTTAATATAAATGTTTAATTATTGTATTCATGTGTTTATAAAGTCATTTATTTAAAAAAAAAAAAAACCTGATGGAGAATATAAGATGCATTTGAGGTTTGTTGGAGGTTCAGAGTGAATTATGCAGAGTTTGATTCTTCCTTAACATTGCTCTGCCAGGGAAAGAAACCACAGAAGAAGAAAACAGACTTTAGCATCAAGATACTCAGAGAGGATCAGGATAATATCAGCCTGATGTCTGCAGCTCAGAGTCAACACAACTCTCACATATTAATCTCAGCACAGAAGTTAAAGATGGAGAACTGACCTGAGAACCACCAGTCTGCAGTCTGGACTCTCCAGAAGATCTCTCAGCAGCTCCACTCCTGAATCCTGCAGAGCGTTGCTACTCAGGTCCAGACCTCTCAGATGGGAGGGGTTGGACTTCAGAGCTGAGATCAGAGCAGAACAGCTGCTCTCTGACAACCTGCAGCGCCACAGTCTGAATAAAGAAAACATGACTAGCCAGACTAATAACAACCCACTGAAACTGATTCAACTGAAGATCACACAGTTTACACATATGACAAATATGTCGGGATGAATTTAGAAGAAATGTGATAAAGAATAAATAGAAAGTATTTATTTCAGAAATAGTGGAGCCATACATCCAAAGCATCTTCAGTTTAAAAATAAAATGATTGGTTAGTGTTTGATAGTTTTGACAGAAATATGTATTAACTGTATTAAACTGTTTATTATATAATTTATAAAAGAAACATGATCGAGAATATACAATGAACTCCAGGTGTTTCAATGTTCAGAGTGAATTATGAAGTGTAGGACTTTCTTGTTATATTTTAATTTAAAGCTCAACATCAGTCTGCCACAGTCAACACATTTCCTGTAGAATCCCATATGTCTGGTAACAAGTCGCACTGACTAACATGTGGCTTTGCATTGTCAGCTTGCATTATATTGTTCTTGGGAGAATGAAAGAAAAGAAACGAAAGATGAACAAAAGGAGAAACTGCAGACAAATGGTAACATCCATGATTTGTTGTGCTAAGCTAGGCTACGCCTGGAAGGTGGAACTGGAGAGATTCCCCAGTGAGAGGAACACCTCCACCTCCCTGTGTTTAATACAGTACTGCTGAACCAGCAGAGAGTCGACCCCTTACTGACTTGAGAGCCTCCAGTCTGCAGTCTGGACTCTGCAGAAGATCTCTCAGCAGCTCCACTCCTGAATCCTGCAGCTTGTTGTAACCCAGGTCCAGAAGTCTCAGATGGGAGGGGTTGGACTTCAGAGCTGAGACCAGAGCAGAACAGCTGACCTCTGACAACCTGCAGCGCTCCAGCCTGAATAAAGAAAACATGATGTAACTTTAGAAAGCAATGTTCCTAGAAAGGGCGTCCAACGTCATTTCTGGCCCCGCCTACTTTCATTAGAGCGAAGTGGAAAATAATAGTGTCTTCATGTCTTAAAGCTGCTGAGTCATATACTGCACCTCAAACAACAAATACATCCAGAGCTACAGTTTCTGTACTTCCTCTACAGAAAAAAGGACAGAAAAAGAAACTGAGAAATCTCAGTTTGAGTGTAAACCTGCTGCAGACCCACCGGACATCCATCCCATAATTATTCAGAGTAAAACCAAAGCTGTCTCTGCCGTCTGACGCTCTATTTGACACCATTTTCATATTTTTGGAGGAATTGTACAGTTTTTGAAAAACAGAAATATGGTTTTCTGGCATCACTTTAACAATTTACAGGGAAAATCAGCATGTTGGTATGCGGGCGCACGCTGACAGTAAGAGGGCGCAGCGCCCCTGTTACCCGGTTTAGACTAACCTGGTAAGGTTTAATAATCGGTTCAGAGCTCAAAATGGTTTTAATGTCAGCAATGATGTGGAAAATCCCTCTCCCACTCCGGCCTCCCTCTACCTGCTCCCTCCTCCAGCTCACCTGTGGCAAATCCTTTCCCCCATGAACAAAGAAGCTGGCTGGCCTAATGCAGCTCCTGAGAACCAATTGTTTGTCTGAGTAAATAATCAGTGTTCCTTTGTATTGTATGTTCATAGCAGCTCGAGTAGTTTACCTCCCTATTTTCTGTACCGTTTAGATTTGGTTACTTTATTTCTAATAATGTAGAAAGATAACTGCTTTGCTGGAATATCATTTAAAATATGAATGTTAAGTTTGAACTAACTAAGATGTGTTGTACTTTCCAACCAGATCAACAATTAAGACAAACAAGAATCAACAAATTACTCATCTTTAAATCCACTGCGTTGACTGTTTAATCCTTGAACCAACCACCCTCACCACCCTCCATATTCTTCAAAGGATGTAGATTCAAAACAATTGATGAGCTCAAATTCTCTGCAGCAGTTTTTCTCAGCAACATATTTGACCTCCTTCATCTCCCTCACAGCTCATCAGTACTGACAGCATCTTCACTAACTTATGGAGCACAGTGAGAGTGACGGCTGAAAAGATATCTCAGATGAGAGCGGTTGGACTTCAGAGTCATACATTTACTTTCTCTGCTTTTTGTTGTTCTTTAAAATATTCAGCCATTGAGAAAGAAATATAAACATTTAAATGTATTTGTACTCTTAGTACTAAACTCTGGAATTAGAAATAATATAAATGATAAATAAATAATAATCCACATGAACTACAGCCAGAGATCTGACCTGAGAGTCTCCAGTTTACAGTTTGGACTCTTTAGTCCAGAACTCAGCATCTCCACTCCTGAATCCTGCAGCTTGTTGGCTCTCAGGTCCAGCTCTCTCAGGTGGGAGGGGTCGGACTTCAGAGCGGAGGCCACGACTTCACAGTCAGAGTCTGAGATTCCACGGTTATGAAATCTGCAATGACACATATATTACAGCATATGCTATAAAACAAGGGGAAACATTACATTTACTTCATGCATTTGTTGAAAAAACATTTTGAATATAATGTTTTGAATAACTCTGATGTTAGTACAATGAATATTTTATTGAGTTTTCAGTGTGATCTGATCCCATGTTTGTCCCGTCGGACCTACCTTCTGCTGTCAGTGAACAGAAATTAAACAAATCGACAAAATAAGAGATTTACATAATGAAATGTTAATATATTTGGATGTGCATGACAAGGAATGCATAATGTATTTCTCAAAGCATCTAAGAATGTATAATGCACACAAACATATTGAACAAACCAATAGGTTTCCATTATTTTCAACAAAACACCATGAAAAAGACGTTATCTATGTATCAGCGTTAAAACACAATCTGACCTCTGTTATTGGTGGGATTATGTAGATCTTGTTTTAAAAGAGTCAACATAAATCAGATATTACTCTGTGTCTGATTTAACTATTAACAAACTGCAGTCACAGTATTTGAAACAGCAAAAAGTTGTATAGTGTTTATTCGAAAACTAAACTTAATATCTACATTAGTTTATAAAGTTAATCACATCTGGACTCACACAGCCTTGCTGCAGTTCCCCAAAGCTGGAATCACTCTCTGTCGTCCCTCCTCTGATGTTTCGTACTTCTCGTGGTCCAACTCATCCAGAACCTCCTCTGACATCTGCAGCATGTAGGCCAGAGAAGACAAGTAGATCCCTGATCTGTTCTCTGACTTCAGGAACTCTGTGATCTCCTGATGGACTGAGTGGTCCTTCATCTCTGTCAGACAGTGGAAGATGTTGATGCTCTGGTCAGGAGAGATTTTATCGCTGCTCATCTTCTTCAGGTTGTTGATGGCTCTCTGGATGGTTTCTGGACGGTTGTCTGTGCGACCCAGCAGGCCTCCTAACAGTCTCTGGTTGGACTCCAGAGAGAGGCCGTGGAGAAAGCGGACAAACAGGTCCAGGTGGCCATTTTCACTTCTGAGGGATTTCTCCATGGCTCCCTCCAGGAAGACATCCAGGGATGGGTAATCCTGATCACTGTTATACCTGTTGCTATAGTCTCCCTGCAGGAAGTCCTTCAGTACCGCTGTGTCTCTGTTGGTGTAACAGTGGAACATGTAGACTGCAGCCAGAAACTCCTGAATGCTCAGATGAACAAAGCAGTAGACTGTTTTCAGGAAGATCACACTCTCTCTTTTGAAGATCTCTGTACAAACTCCTGACTGCACCAAGGCCTCGGTAACACCAAGACCACAGCGCTGCAGGTCTTCTTGGTAGAACATGATGTCTCCTTTCTCCAGATGTTCAAACGCCAGCCTCCCCAGCTTCAGAAGAAGCTCCCTGTCAGCCTCCGTCAGCTGCTGTGGACTCGTCTCATGTCCCTCCTCATACTTCTGCTTCTTCCTCTTGGTCTGGACCAGCAGGAAGTGTGAGTACATGTCAGTGAGGGTCTTGGGCAGCTGTCCTCTCTGGTCTGTAGTCAACATGTGGTCCAGAACTGCAGCAGTGATCCAGCAGAAGACTGGGATCAGACACATGATGTGGAGGCTCCTGGAGCTCTTGATGTGAGAGATGATTCTGCTGGACCATTCTTCATCACTTGATCTCCTCCTGAAGTACTCCTCCTTCTGGGCGTCAGTGAAGCCTCGTACTTCTGTCACCCTGTCCACACACTCAGGAGGGATCTGATTGGCCGCTGCAGGTCGGGAAGTTATCCAGACGAGAGCCGAGGGAAGCAGCTTCCCCCTGATGAGGTTTGTCAGCAGCACGTTGACTGAGGACTGCTGAGAGACCTCAGACACAACCTCATTGTTTCTGAAGTCCAGAGAAAGTCTGCTTTCATCCAGGCCGTCAAAGATGAGCAGCACTTTGCAGACAGCCAGCTGCTCTGCTGTGACCTTCTGTAAGGTTGGATGGAAAACATGGAGCAGCCTGAGAAGACTGTACTGCTCACCTTTGATCAGGTTCAGCTCCCTGAAGGAGAGCGGGATCACCAGACTGACATCTTGGTTTCCCAAACCCTCGGCCCAGTCCAGAGTGAACTTCTGCACTGAGAAGGTTTTTCCAACGCCAGCGACTCCGTTGGTCAGGACCGCTCTGATGGGAGTCTGTTGGTCAGGTAAGGCTTTAAAGATGTCCTGGCACTTGATTGGAGTGTCATGGAGGGGCTTGTTCTTGGAAGCTGTCTCCAGCTGCCTCACCTCATGTTGGGTATTAACCTCTTCACTCAGGCCTTGTGTGATGTAGAGCTCAGTGAAGATCCTGTTGAGGAGGGTTTCACTTTGATCAGTTCCTTCAGTCACACGTTCACATCTCCTCCTCAGACTGATGCGATGTTCATCTAAAACCTCCTGCAGACCACTATCTGCTGAAGGAGAAGGAAACGTGTGAGTAATACAAATAAAACAAATAAATAAAAGGGTTCAGAATGAATGTCTTTACTTTAACAAATAAACCAGGAAGAACCCTGTTTTCAGACATGAAGACCCCAGCAGACAGATATTTAGACTTACTTCGTACAGTGCTGGTCTGACTGGCTCTCTGCACTCCAGCTCTTGTTCTGGACCTCTTCCCTCTGTTGAGATGAACACAACCTTTATAGCGCAGGTATATGTACATAATAAAAACATCTTCCTGTCTGGATTCATAACATAATTCAAAGTTGGACACAGCAAGTTCATCGTATATAGCAACTCACACATCATCAAAATTAGGGCTGGGCGATACGGCCTGAAAATAATATTGCAATATTTTTAACCTGTATCGCGATACACAATATAAATTGCGATATTTTGAAATCCCGTTCCATACCCAATACACCAGTATGAGGATTGTTAAATTAAGACATTAAGGGCTATTCATGATAATTTGCATCTTGTCTTCATCTATTGTATATCGTGGATCACGTTGGAACTTTCAAAACACCAAACACAGTAGCCACACAAATGCTCGCTCAGTCTGGTCCACAAAACCCTGCTCCTCCTCGGGAATAATGCTGAACCAGACGGGCTCGGAGGTAAAGACGGGTGAGGGTCTTTCCGGACGCAGACCCGTGCACTGAGGACAGCCATAAACTGTAGAGGACAGGCCGCTAGGGGAAGCAGTGAGGTCTCTTGTTTGTACCATACAGAGTCTATGGTTCATACACATAAATGAAAAACACTGATTTAATATGAGGTACTGTAAAGCTCTGGCTGCTGATGTTTTCCTTTACTGATTCAACGTCAGCACGTCAGTGACGACAGAAGCAGAATCTCAATGCTGACAGGTTTGTGCGTCAGAGCGTCACACAAATATCTCGATCAAGTTGACATTTTCAAGTTGCAGCTATACGCGGGTAGTGTATAGTGGTATAGTGGTAGTGGATCGCCGGAGCTGTTAGATTAACATTAACATGCTTATTAAGTGCAATGCCTTGCAGCCTGTAGCACCATCCTTGATGGAGCATATGTGTGGGACCTGTATTTTACAGGAAAGGAGTGAGCAGAGGGTAGATTCTTGTTCTGTTTTCTGTGACTATCTTCCTCACCATGCTGAACACCCTCTCAGACTTTCAGTTGCGCGCGCTACTAAAGAGACGCGCTACCAAAGAGACGCGCTACCATGGAAACCAAACAATGGTGTAGCTTTATTAAAGTCCGAGTGGAAACAGTCGTGAGTAAATCTGATTTTGTCAGAAATCGGGAGAAATGCGGGAGAAATAAAGGCTACAAACGGAAATATGACCCCGGGAGGAAACCGGGAGAGGGCAATGGAATTGGGAGTTTCCCGCGAAAATTGGGAGGGTTGGCAAGTATGAGTATAGGCGAATCCACCCGCAAATAGGGTGGGAAGACATTTTTTTTTCAAAATGTTGTCTCCATCCTCGGCTCTGTGTGCGTGTGGCATAGCACATTTTGTGTGAGGGAGTGAGACAGAGAGAGGGCACTGGTTACAGGGATTGTTGTTAGCATCCCTAGACTGTATATCCAGGGTTTCACATAACTTTTTTAGTGACTTACTCAGATGAGTACCAGGAGACAGCGTTTGGTACTCACCCTACACGTAGCGTGGTTTTAATAAGCGCAGTCTTATCCTCACTATCCTTAACACTTTACTGTGTTTCTTTACTGTGTTCTTCTCTCTGAGTGTTTCGAACTGAAACTCTGCCGCACGGTCCCCTCGTCCCTTGGAAGAGGCGGAGAGGTGGGTGTTTGTCATCTGCTGGTGGACTACTGGAGAGAATTACAGCAGCAGGAGCAAACGCTTGCCTCGGGGAGGGAGAAAAAGAGCCACAGCGGAGAATAAACAGAAGGGCAACCATGGCAACCATGCACTTCGTCTTCTTTGCTGCTTTTGTGGCAGACTACTGCGCCACTTACAGGCCTGGCATATGTACTACAATCTCTCCAGCGCTTTCGAGCGGTCTCGTGTGAATGGACACGTCTCGTTTGAACGGAAACTATTCCGGGCTGACGTCGGGTCGGATGGAATCTGTATCCGCTCGTTGTTGCCCCGTTTTTAAAAGATTTGGGTACGGAAGAAAAGAGAGAGGGTTGTATTTTCTGACACTTGGTGAGTTCCCTGGAACAGTGTACTCTTTTGTCCTTTTCTGTATTTCTTTAGTGTACTCTTCAGTCCTTTACTGTATTTCTTTAGAGTACTCTTCAGTCCTTTACTGTGTTTCTTTAGTGTACTCTTCTCTCTGAGTGTTTAGATGGTTTACATCAGTCTCAGTGGGTCTCAAACGTATTGGACACCATTAACAACATCATGCCCTCCAAGTTCTTACTCTAGTTTAGATGATCAGATAACATAAACACTGAATCCTCTTCAGGTCAGTTCACAGGAGAAACAGACTCTCACTTTGTTTCTGAGGGTCCAGGTTGATCCCGGAAGTCCATAAATCTGTCTATAGACTGGTCACTCTTCAGAGACAGGCAGCTGGGGACTGGAGACTCTGCTCTCCGTCTGCAGAAACAGAAAATGTTTTACACACATCATTGGATTTTGAAAAGAGCAACTGAACCTGATTAAATATGTTTGGACTTGCTCTGAACTTTCTGTTTTTGAGTCATGCTTGTAGGTTTCAGTCTTTACAATTCATTTGTGAGGATCAATAGTTTTACATGTTTGTGTTTTATTCACTTAACTTAAAGTGGACCTATCATGCTATATTTGAAACATATATTGTAGGGCCATACCTATATAAAAAATGTCTGTGAAGTTTTTTTTTCAAAATACCAAACAAATCATGCATTTTAGCCATGCCTCATTTCGCTCTATTTGCTCTTTTCCAGCCTTGTTTTTGCAAGGGCCGAATCTGTGACTTAGCTTTAATGCAAATGAGCTGCAGCTGACCACGCCCCCCTGCAGGAGAGGGGAGCGTGTTCTGAGATCAGCTGCTGGGCTCTCAGAAGAGGGGGAGGAAAAGAGAGGCTCCGTCCTCGGTGTTTTATTCTTATATTATTACCTAGAGTCATTATTCATTTGTTTTAAAGGTCAATAAATAACAAAGAAGACCCTCTGACCGGCACTTTTCTAATTTTGTCAGGAAGATTTAAACTTTAATGGACATGTTGACCGTCGATAAAAAATCGAACTGAAACTCTGCCGCACGGTCCCCTCGTCCCTTGGAAGAGGCGGAAAGGTGGGTGTTTGTCATCTGCTGGTGGACTACTGGAGAGAATGACAGTAGCAGGAGCAAACGCTTGCCTCGGGGAGGGAGAAAAAGAGCCACAGCGGAGAATATACAGAAGGGCAACCATGGCAACCATGCACTTCGTCTTCTTCGCTGCTTTTGTGGCAGACTACAGCGCCACTTACAGGCCTGGCATATGTACTACAATCTCTCCAGCGCTTTCGAGCGGTCTCGTGTGAATGGACACGTCTCGTTTGAACGGAAACTATTCCGGGCTGACGTCGGGTCGGATGGAATCTGTATCCGCTCGTTGTTGCCCCGTTTTTAAAAGATTTGGGTACGGAAGAAAAGAGAGAGGGTTGTATTTTCTGACACTTGGTGAGTTCCCTGGAACAGTGTACTCTTTTGTCCTTTACTGTGTTTCTTTAGAGTACTCTTCTGTCTTTACTGTGTTTCTTTAGTGTACTCTTCTGTCTTTACTGTGTGTCTTTAGAGTACTCTTCTGTCTTTACTGTGTTTCTTTAGTGTACTCTTCTGTCTTTACTGTGTTTCTTTAGTGTACTCTTCTGTCTTTACTGTGTGTCTTTAGAGTACTCTTCTGTCTTTACTGTGTTTCTTTAGTGTACTTTACTGCGTTTCTTTAGTGTACTTTACTGCGTTTCTTTAGTGTACTTTACTGCGTTTCTTTAGTGTACTCCCTTCACTCTTGTGCCAGGCTCAAACCACCATGCAAAACGTATCAAGAGAGGTCAGTGTGAACGAGAAACAGACTCTTACTTCCGGTCTGAGGGCTGTGGTAGATTACTGATTGCTGGAGGTAAGTCAATAGACCCGTCACTCTTCAGAGACAGACAGCTGGAGACGGAAGATGTGTCCTCCTCCTCATCTTTTGAATCACTCATCTTCTCCAGTCTGACAGATACACCAGTAACACTGCAGACACACACACACACACACACACACACACACACACACACACACACACACACACACACACACACACACACACACACACACACACACACACACCACACACACACACACACACACACACACACACAACACACACACACACACACACACACACACACACACACACACACACACACACACACACACACACACACACACACACACACACACACACACACACACACACACACACACACACACACATACACACACACACAATTTGACATCATCATTTAATAAAAACATCATAATGACAAACTTTGATTTCAATACAACCCATAAGTCAGACTTCTCACAGGTTGCTCATGTAACTATCATAGGAGGCTGTGGCTCAGTGAGGTAGTGCGCTGAACTTCTGATTACTGCAGTCAGCATGACATGGGTTTTCCCAAATCCTGTCGCTTTGGATAAAATCAGAGAGGGCAAGAGTACACAGGATATCCATAATTTTTGCCCTTTGACGTTTATGACCAACCCTGACGTTTTGGAAAAATGTGCTTTTGAATAATTTTGGTGAATATTTAAAGTGTAAAATCTTCAATAACGATAACGTCACTATTATACAGTATATTTCTACCAATCTCACAACACACGTCTGACCACCAGGAGACTATTGATGTGTGTAGTGAGTTTGGTAGCACTCCACTGTATAATAGTAACGTTATTGAAGATTATACCATATTTATTGAAGATTTTACACTATAAATCTTCCCCAAAATTATTCCGAACCACATTCTTCCAAACTCTCTGCTGTAGTCTGACCACCAGGAGACTATTGATGTGTGTAGTGAGTTTGGTAGAAATATACTGTATAATAGTGAAGTGATTGAATATTATTGTATTTTCTTTTTTCGGAGAATGCACTTTGCAGACGGTCTATGAGCACTTGTTTCTTCTCCGGCTGCGGATAGAGACCAATGTAATGTGTCCAGCTCGGAGGACAGCGCATATTGACTTTTTTTTTAATCAAAATGTGATTGTAGTTCGTTGTCAACCTTACCACGGTAGCCTACTTGGGAGACGTAATTTGTGTCTGAATAACGTTTTGTTCATGAGTTATTGATCCGTGAAATCCGAATCTGCCAATATCGTTCTAACTTTACTCAACTGTCTGAGTTCTGGTGCCGACAGGAAAGAGATATTCCGGCTGTCTGTGATCTGGTGTTTGTCGTCACTTCACAAGCAGTGCGCGTTGCTGCTCGAAAGTTAAACTACTTTCAACAAAGGACGTTCACAGCAGTTGATTTGAGCACGCAAAAACGGAGCCGGAGCATCAGCACTACAGCCCTTTATCCCCCCCCCCCCCCATACTTTGAAGGCCGGTCAGTGAAAATATTGTCGGTCCAGGAAATGAAAAAGTTAAATATATTTGAAAAAGTCACACTCAACTCTACGTTGCTGATTTTGTATCACGTCAGTAAAAATAGTTGTTTGTGACATAGGCCTACAGTATGACAGAGTAATAATAACGTATTAAAAACCCAGCAGAGACTGGTTTTAACCATAGGTTTTAACCAACACTCACCCTGTTGCTCCTCCTCTGTCGAAGTGTAAAATGGAGTCTGATTTCATCCCTTTCGATGTCCCTCCTTATCTGCAGCTCCTCCCTCTGTTTATCAGCAGAGCTGGGAGAAACACTCAGGTCTTGTACTTGAGTAAAAGTAGAAGTACTCAGATCTTGTTCTTGAGTAAAAGTAGAAGTACTCAGGTCTTGTACTTATGTTTATGTTTATTAAGGATCCCCATTAGCTTTTGCTCTTGACAAAAGCTACTCTTCATGGGGTTCGACACTTAAAACAATACAACAATAATACAACAATAATACAACAATAATACAACAATAATACAACAACATTCAAGACATAATTCCTGACATCATTAACAACATCACCAATATCATCAACAATTTCCAACATCATCAACAATCTCATCCACTTTCAATATCAATCTCAGCCAAGGATGAGTGCACAAGACACCCACCAGTACAAAGCATGAGATCAAATTAAATTAAATTAAATTTAATTAGGGTTCACAGTTCACAAGGGTACATGGTCATTAGTAGATGGCCCTTCAATCTCTTCTTGAAAGAGGCTCTGGACTCTATTTCAGTAAGGTAGTTTAGCAATAAGTTCCATTCCTTTATAGCTCTATAAGACACAGAAGATTTCAGAAGATTTGTCCTGGGTTTAGGTGCCCGTAGATGGCCTGATGTAGCTTGTCTAGTCCTATGGTCATGCTCGTCTCTTGTGTAAACTATTTGATCATAAAAATACAGTGGTCTTTAGCTAAATTGGAATTTTTTTAGAAAAGTGGTAACACAAGATTGCAGACTTTTCTCACCCGGAAGCCATGATAGGTTTGTATGCATAACTCCAATATGAGTGCGCTTCGAACAGTGGAGAGCTAGTCTGGCAGCCTTGTTTTGAGCTATTTGTAATTTCTGTATATGTGTTTTTGCTGCTGATGACCATATGACCGGACAGTACTCAAGATGTGACAAAACCAGAGACTGAATGACTTGTTTCAAAGTGGTTGGTGTTACATACTTTGTACATTTTCTCGTCACAGCTATGCTCCTTCCCATTTTAGTTATGATACTGTACTTGAGTAAAAGTAGAAGTACTCAGATCTTGTTCTTGAGTAAAAGTAGAAGTACCAGAGTGTAGGAATACTCTGTTACAGTAAAAGTCCTGCATTCAAAATGTTCCTCAAGTAAAAGTAGAAAAGTATTATCATCAAAATAAAGTTATATATGATGTGTTTAATGATTGATCATTAAAGTGTTCTCAAAGCTGGTAAAGGTGCAGCTAGTTTAAATGACTGTGTATACTGCAGGGTAGCTTGTGAATTTACTCCAGGTGGAACTAAAGTCTGATTTAACACTTGATTATATTTCAAATCATTCATCCAAATCTGTAAAGTAACTAAAGGTATTAAATACTTGTAGTGGAGTAAAAGTACAAATGCAGGACTTTTACTTCTAACAGAGTATTCCTACACTCTGGTACTTCTACTTTTACTCAATTACAAGATCTGAGTACTTCTACTTTTACTCAAGTACAAGATCTGAGTACTTCTTCCACCTCTGATTGGTTGAAATAATCCTCCTTACAATTCCATGCTACGTCAGTTATTCTCATGTTTTATTTTTGAAAAACTTCTCCCGGAAGTAGTATGGAACCTTTTCACTCATGCATTAGCTGACAGAAGTGCATCCCTGTTCCCGAGGAGAAGAACAACAAAGTCCCACCATGGCTGTTTTGTGGAATACATTGTGACAACTACCGACAAGATGATGAACGACATCATAGAGGAACCGGAGAAGGACACTCTGCTGGAGCCGCAAGTCTTCCCGGTAATGTCTGCTAAAGATAGCCCGGCTAACGCTAACTTGTAAATAGAAACTGGGAGGCTAGTTGAAGACGGTTTTTATGAATGGGCGTAGTGGCCTAATGGCGGTACTACAACTCCAAGGATGTCACTGGTATAAAAACAGCTATATTACAGCAGCAAACTGAAGTATAATAATTAATAAAGCACAATAAATAATGAAATCCGGGCAAGTTATGTGGAACAACGACACAAAGGCTAAGGTTTATAATAAACTCAGACTGCGCATGCGCCATGGGCTCACATCTGTGTAATTTCTGAACCTACAGTCTCTCTATTTTTGGCTTCATGCGCCACTGAGCAACTCTCATAGGAATGAACGCCTCTCTCTCTTTATTCATCCATAGGCTAGCTGCTAGCTGGTTAGCTTAGCATGTGATTTTGACAGTTGTTTATATTAGTCGCGTTTACAAAATGAAGTGTTTCTCTTTCTCGTATTACAATGCTAAGATTGAGTTTGATTGCCATTAAGTGACATTATATAGTTGGCCCATAAACACCTACAGTGTTATACTTTCTTATTCCATAAACAGAACTGCTGGGGACATCTGGAGGAGTTTTCACTTTTTTAGAGACCGTTATGGAGTAACTTATGTAGAAGTGGAAGAACTACTTAGATATCTAATTTAAGTAAAAGTAGCTTAATAGAAAACATACTATGTTACAAGTAAAAGTCCTGAATTAAAAAATGATTGCCTCAAAAGTACTTATTGTGTGTTATGTCCCATTTTAAAGTTATATACATGAATGTGTATCAATGATCATCCCAGCTTGTACAGGTACTGGTACTGTTTACTTTAACAAATTGGATTTTAATTTGTTTAAGCATTAGTTATGGCAGCTGGTAAAAGAAGAGCTATTTTAAACGATGCATACAGTGTTTGTTAGAGCAATGTTTACTTTAATATTTATTTTATTAGCTTTTCTTTTTAATGACTGATTTTAAATGCCATTTTCGTAATGTCTTTCATTTTTTGTAAAGCACTTTGAATTAGTGATGGCAGTTTGACACTGAAGCTTCGAACGGAGCTTCAACCCTGGACTTCCTATTCCATAGAAGCAGTGCTTCGAAGCTTGCTTCAAATCACGTGACATATGACGTCCGAAGCAGCAACTGCTTCAAATCACGTGACATGTGACGTCCGAAGCAGCAACTGCTTCATTTCCTGAATGAATCACTTGACTGGTTCGCGGTCTATTCACGCGATTCAATGCACTGCCTCGTCTCGATTCTGACAGGTTGAAACAGTTTCAAATTTGAGCGCTTCAACACTTTATGACCGCTCTAAACAATGCACAATGTGTGGGTTGTTGTCGTAGTTTGCGTTGTTGCTGTTGAGTTGTTGTTGGTATTGCATTTGAATTGTAGTATCATTATAGAGCAAGCCAGGAAGTAAGATAGGTCGTTCTGGCTCGGGAAACACTTCGAAATGTGGAGAAGTTGTGAACAAAAAGACAATTATCAGTAATATAAAAACAGTCCAATAATTTAAGGAATAGATAGCCCAGTGGGTAGAGCCGGCGGCCCGAATGCGGCGATGTCCTCCGCGCAGCTGGTTCAAATCCCGGAATGGACGTATTTTAATCATTGCTTTTCAACTTTAATAACTGATAAAAGGCCCTCTCCACCCAAAAACATGTCTAGCACTCTCTAGTCTCTTCTCAATAACCCAATACACACAATTATCAATCTTTAATTGCAAATAGAACATGATATTCAGTCTTACGGCCCGTCCACACAGCGGCGTGCGTTGAAGCTTCCAACGCTTCTGCCCATTCACTTTGAATGGGGTGACGTCACTTTTAGCCGAACTGCATTTTGGGAAGCGACGTGGAGCGTTGCTGGCGTAGCTGGCGTCAAAAGTTGAGCAATGTTCAACTTTTGACGCCTCGACGGAGGCGTCAGCCAATGAAATCCCGTTTATTCAAATCTGCCAGTACAATCGCTAGCCAATCAAACCGCGTGTATGCTGGGAGAGACTGCGCAGGTCATTTCCTCATATTCAAACAAATTGAGGGAAAATTGATTATAGCGGTAGTGAATCACCCGGTGCTGTATGATCAGTCTCTGTTCATCTACCGGGATACAAACCGGAGGAGCGAGGCATGGAGGGAGGAGGCAGAGACAGTGGGTGAAACTGGTAGGTTTTCGCCTGTTTGGGGATTTTATATCCAGTTTACTTCGTTTTAACATTGCTATTGCTTTGTATGTCGGGGGCGGGAGATTCATGTGATTGGTTGTTGGTCGTGTTGCTCGCAAAAAATCCCCAAGCTTCAGATACGCCCACCTCCAAGCGTCAACGCACGCTGCTGTGTGGACGCTCCGTTACGGCCCGTCCACACAGCGGCGTGCGTTGAAGCTTCCAACGCTTCTGCCCATTCACTTTGAATGGGGTGACGTCACTTTTAGCCGAACTGCATTTTGGGAAGCGACGTGGAGCGTTGCTGGCGTAGCTGGCGTCAAAAGTTGAGCAATGTTCAACTTTTGACGCCTCGACGGAGGCGTCAGCCAATGAAATCCCGTGTATTCAAATCTGCCAGTACAATCGCTAGCCAATCAAACCGCGTGTATGCTGGGAGAGACTACGCAGGTAATTTCCTCATATTCAAAAAAATTGAGGGAAAATTCATTATAGCGGTAGTGAATCACCCGGTGCTGTATGATCAGTCTCTGTTCATCTACCGGGATACAAACCGGAGGAGCGAGGCATGGAGGGAGGAGGCAGAGACAGTGGGTGAAACTGGTAGGTTTTCGCCTGTTTGGGGATTTTATATCCAGTTTACTTCGTTTTAACATTGCTATTGCTTTGTATGTCGGGGGCGGGAGATTCATGTGATTGGTTGTTGGTCGTGTTGCTCGCAAAAAATCCCCAAGCTTCAGATACGCCCACCTCCAAGCGTCAACGCACGCTGCTGTGTGGACGCTCCGTTAGTGTGTGTGTGTGCATCGAATATTTTTCAAGGCAATGATACGTTAAACCCACTGCAGCCTTGCACTTCGCCAGGAGAGGTCGCTGTAACTGAAGCTTCGAGAAATGAACCTATTTCCGACACAATTGTCCAAGTGGTTCGACGCTTCATTCAAAGCTTCATTTTGCCATCACTACTTTGAATTGCCTGAAAAGTGCTATATAAATAAACTTGCCTTGCCTTAAGGCAGGGG